CAAAATTCGTGTTTGTCTAATTTAGCATTTTCAATTGTCAATGTACTTGTATTGATTTGAATGATTGGTCTCATCTTAGTTGATTTGAAATACTACATATATGTTAGTAAGAGTCTACTAATTTACTAAAAACTAATTCAACCACGTGCTGTAATCTTGGATGTGTGAGTGGTGTAATGGATAATGGCTTGGAATTGTTAATTGGAGATCCAAGTTCTAATTTTTGTTGGGGTTGTTAATATTCACTCAAATGCAAATATCATTAAGAAAGGAATGAATCCCCTTTTTCTCCTCCAGCTATAGGTTAATTAATAAGACTTGTATCACTAAATAATTGTCAAAAAAATTCTTACAATCTAAAACTATTTTCTGGCTTTAAATAACCTGCAATGGGTTGACGAGCTGTAAAAAACGAATCGATCAGTTAATCAAATACGGATTAACTACACTGGCATATATTTTAGATTTATTTACATTCTCTGGAATATAAAAGTATAGAAACTACTGCGGCCACAAAATGAGAGATCATTTTATATATTGATTGTAATATAGAATTGAGCCACCACTTAATAACCATGTAATTTCTTTATCAAATCATGATTAGGTATCAATCCACTGCTTCCCCCCAGCTATGGGTTAATTAGTAAGATATGTATTACTAAACCATTATCTCAAAGAAGAAACTTACAAAGGGTTGATAAGCCATAGAAAATGAATCAATCAGGCATAAAATTTTGATAATTTTCAATTGTCTCTAACCATATATAATGTGTGTGTCCTATATTTAAAGGTAGAAGTAGTCAATATCAGAGATAGTGTTGACCTCAGTGTCCACTTTTTATATTTACATACACTAAGTGTTGACAGTCTGTCATACACTGAATGCAATCTTTGGTCTATTTTCAGTTTTTTCCTTCATGACCTGAAGATTGTGTTGAAACCTGAAACACTGTCACTGCTTGGTGTTGACCTCAGTGTCTACTTTTATATTTACATATATTACTATCTCTGATGTTGAGTACTTATAAATATATCAGACCTCTCTCTTTCTCTGTGTGTGTGTGTGTGTGTCTCTCTCTCTCTATATATATATATATATATATATATATATATATATATAGAGAGAGACAGAGACACACACACACACATGCACAATTACGAATACACATTACTATCTGATGCCAGCTTAGACACTTTGTAATTTTTATGAACTTACTTACATATAGAATTATCAGTGGTTTTAATGCATCTGATACATGACTGACCAATGAAAACCAAACTACACAAAATAGAAAGAAAAAACAAATTCTGTTTCTCTCAATCACTGATGAATCTTTAATAAAAGTGAAACATGCCCACACACATTATCACCCAAATCCCACAAGACCAGTTAGAAATGTGATGCACAAACATACAGGCATGTCAACATCCTTCTAACATCCTCAGGAATTATACCCACAGACACTACAAGACTGACACAAAAATGACCACTGGAATCCAGACACATGTTTTATGTGCATTAACCAATGGAAATCAAACAACACAAAAATAAAAATACCAGAATTTCTTTCTTTTTCTCTGATGAATCTTTAATAAAAGTGAAACATGTTAGATTGATAAACATTTCCTATTTGGTCTTCGGAATCCAGTCTATATTTGATCTTTAACTTATATATATATATTTTAGATAAAAACAGACCAATTTAAGGTTCCATGTAATAAATTATTTCACCACAGCCCTTTTGAGCTCTTTGGATTTTATCCTCCTTGGGTCTACCCATATGGATTACCTAGTTTTTCATAAACTATATATATATATATATATATATATATATATATATGGCTTTCAAGATGTATGACCATCATAAGTTATCCTTGCAAGACTCGGTTGTCACTTTTGATATCAAGCAATGCTTGTGCTTGAAATTTGGAAGTGAAGGAAGACGTTTCACTGGGTCAATCCATAGTGGATGCTGCCAGGCTGCAAGTGTTACCGTTATTTTCTTTCTCCTCTTTGGATAACTTAATGAAGACTCCCAAAGGTTAAAAAAAGGACAAAAACAAACAACTAATAAAAATTCAAAATAATATTGAGATTTTTTTTTTTCTTTCCTTACTAATATAACTTGCATTTTTAAGGGAAAGATGTGTGACGCATTTTGTCCTTTAGGATTGGACTAATTTTTTTTTTTTTTACATTGATGCAACGACGTGTGTATAAGTGACACTTAAAATTTAAACATTTTTTTTTTTTTTATTCCTAATATTTAAATAGATTTGCAAAGGAAAAAAATTTACCAACAATGAAAATTTTGTTGGCATTAAATAACTCATTGAGGTTGCTATGCTGTAAAACAAACCAAACCATCACTTTTATTAAATATTCCAAGAATGGCAAGATGCAAGAATCTGGATGTGAGTTTAGATTTTTGTCTCAGTGAATTGTTTCCACTTTTAATTTGAGTAGAAATGTTTATATCAAAATTGTGCTCAGTCAATTTTAAATTTCCCAGCATCATTCATTGGTGTGCATGTGTAGTTGCATCAATGTTAACAAAAACTTAGTCTGATGATGTCCTAAAGTATAAAATACGTCACATGAACACTTCTATTTTGTTGTACATCTTTGTCCTAAAATTGTTCTTGATATGTAAAAAATTATTACCAGAAATAGATTTGCAAAGGAAAAAAATTATTACCAGAAATAGATTTGCAAAGGAAAAAAATTATTACCAGAAATAGATTTGCAAAGGAAAAAAATTATTACCAGAAATAGATTTGCAAAGGAAAAAAATTATTACCAGAAATAGATTTGCAAAGGAAAAAAATTATTACCAGAAATAGATTTGCAAAGGAAAAAAATTATTACCAGAAATAGATTTGCAAAGGAAAAAAATTATTACCAGAAATAGATTTGCAAAGGAAAAAAATTATTACCAGAAATAGATTTGCAAAGGAAAAAAATTATTACCAGAAATAGATTTGCAAAGGAAAAAAATTATTACCAGAAATAGATTTGCAAAGGAAAAAAATTATTACCAGAAGTAGATTTGCAAAGGAAAAAAATTATTACCAGAAATAGATTTTGCAAAAAGAAAAAATTACCAAAGAAGTAGATTTGCAAAGGAAAAAAAAATTATTACCAGAAGTAGATTTGCAAAGGAAAAAAAAAAATTATTACCAGAAATAGATTTGCAAAGGAAAAAAAAATTATTACCAGAAATAGATTTGCAAAGGAAAAAAATTATTACCAGAAATAGATTTGCAAAGGAAAAAAATTATTACCAGAAATAGATTTGCAAAGGAAAAAAATTATTACCAGAAATAGATTTGCAAAGGAAAAAAATTTACCAACAATGAAAATTTTGTTGGCATTAAATAACTCATTGAGGTTGCTATGCTGTAAAACAAACCAAACCATCACTTTTATTAAATATTCCAAGAATGGCAAGATGCAAGAATCTGGATGTGAGTTTAGATTTTTGTCTCAGTGAATTGTTTCCACTTTTAATTTGAGTAGAAATGTTTATATCAAAATTGTGCTCAGTCAATTTTAAATTTCCCAGCATCATTCATTGGTGTGCATGTGTAGTTGCATCAATGTTAACAAAAACTTAGTCTGATGATGTCCTAAAGTATAAAATACGTCACATGAACACTTCTATTTTGTTGTACATCTTTGTCCTAAAATTGTTCTTGATATGTAAAAATTTATATATCATGACTTTATGTTGTATCAAACTTATGATAATGGGTATATCCCCAGTCACATAAATACAGTAGTAAATACTGTATGTTGGTCTGCAGTTGGAGATTCATTGTGGAATTCACTTTTAGCAGTTGACTAAAACTTTTATACATCACTGGCAAATCTTATATGTGTTGTTCTTGTCCTAAGTATTATCATTCATTACCAACCCTTGTGTCATTATTCTCTTCAATAACCTTCCCTAGGTTACAACACTTTATAAGGAGCATTAAAATAGAGAATCATTTGTATCTTTTTTTTTTCTCTCAATCTTATTTCTTTGTTTTTTTTTTTTTTTTTTTTTTTTTTTTCTTTCTATCCCTCTCTCTCTGGGCCTTTTTTTTTTTTTTTCTATCTCTCTCTCTCTCTGGGCCTTTTTTTTTTTTTTTTTATCTCTCTCTCTCTCTCTCTTTTTTTTTTTTTTTTTTTATTCTCTCTCTCTCTCTCTCTCTGGGCCTTTTTTTTTTTTTTTTTCTCTCTCTCTCTCTCTGGGCCTTTTTTTTTTTTTTTTTTCTATCTCTCTCTCTGGGCCTTTTTTTTTTTTTTTTTTTCTATCTTGGCCTTGGTTTTATTTCTCTCTTAATGAGATGTGCTCAACTATCTTTCCTTAATAGCCCTTCCTTGGACAAAAGTGACGACCCAACTGTTGCCACATACACGGTCAGGGGTGTCCAAATTGGCCACACATCACTCACTTGTTCAGCTTTGATGGAATCAGGGGAACATGTTCTCAGCAAAACAAGACGTATTGAGGTAAAATGTTTTGTTTTTTTCTTTTTAACCTATAGTATATAATCGTGTCTAAGTTGACTTCATTTATAATGTAACACCTGGATTATTTTGCATTAATTTTAACACCTCCAAAAAAAAAAAAAAAAAAAAAATTAAACACTCTAAATGTAAAACTTGAATATATATATCATACATCTTTTTCCTAAAATTGTTCTTGATATGTAAAAATTTATATATCATGATTTTGTTGTATCAAACTTATGATAATGGAGATATATGTGTGTGTGTCAGAAACATTGAGCTTGGTCAGTACCTAGATGGGTGACTGCTTTGTAATTCCAGGTACTATAAGCTTGGATAAAGGTTCAGAATTGTTAATCTCGGAGTTCAAATTCTGGTTGGATTTGTTATATTCACTTAGGTGCAAATGCCCCTGGTGAAACGTATGAATCCATTTCTTCTCCCTCCGGCTATGGGTTAATTAGTAAAACGTGTATCCACAAAAAAAAAAAAAAAAATT